ATAAATAAAGGAAACTGAAAAGAAATGAGCATTCCATACCAAGAAAACAATTGCCTGTAAATTTTTCTGCCTCTTTTCTATCTCTTCTCATACCATCAGAGCCCCCAAATGACCTGTAGTAGGTCCAGTGACAAATGGTGAAGGTGCTTACTTGACCCTAGATGGCACTGTGGAGCAATCTAAAAGAAGGCTCAAATGGTAGGGACAGTAGATCCCTGGTGTGCACTTTCCAGCAGGAAACCAGGTAGAGCCCAGGAGCTCCCCAAACAACTTCTTTCCTTTTACCACAAAAGCATTTATAGGCGGCTGATGCCATGAACAAGAAAGGAGGGAGATTCCTAAGTATGAAAGTGTCCCTGGCACCTTCTGAATGTCCCTGGAGTCCCGACCACGGGCTCAGCTAGCCATAAATTGTCAGTCCCTTTTCCCAAGTGCCCACCATCCTGCCAGTAGGAAACTGGGAGACCCATGGTTCTCAGGAACAGGGACTTACCTCCTGGCTCACTTTGGCAATACTGTTACTGGCCAATCATGTTTTATGTAAGTACGGTTCACTTGCTTGCGCTGCCCAAATCAAAGGAGGCCATTTAGTAAAAAGAAAAAGGATTTATTCAAATCTAGCTCTGAGGAGGCAACAGGGCCCATTTGCTTAAAATCACCATCTCACTGAGTACAGGTAAGGGTGTTTCATAGGAAGGAACAGAGGTGAGGCGGGGTACAGAGAATAATATGGATCTTTACACTTCCTTTAACGCTTCCATTCATCTTCATTCAACTCATAGTCACCATTCTTGTAGAAAGGAAACTGGGATCCAGCCCCTTGAATCTGGCACCTGCAAATTCTGTCCTTCTTTTGAGGTGGGAGAGGAGGGGGTGTTATGTGCTCAGCAGGAACACATTTGGAGAAATTGCTTATCCCTAAAAGAAAAAATTCTTTTAAAGTTCTATTTTGCAGTGCCAGTTACAGGACTCTACAAGCAAGCACAACACCTGTGGTGGGCAGGTACAGACAGAATGTCCCTGGGAATGAGAGGATGCTTCCTTGCTTACTTTTTTTAAAAAACCAGGAATAGAGACTGAGAGTTGTAAATGTGGGAAGGTTATATTGCAGTAGCCCTGGACTGTGTTCCCTTCTCCCATCTCTCTCTTTTTTTTTTGGGGGGGGGGGTCTTCACCAGTGTCTTTTCTTTGGGAAAAGAGCAAAAGAAATTCTTGCTTACTGACCTCAGTGTGGGTCACAGATATAAATTATTTCATGGAAATGAAGACACCTGCAGAATTCTTTAAAACAAACAAACATACAAAAATTAATAACATGTATTCTGCAATAGGGGAAATCATCCACTGGCTTAAGGTTTATATGGTTCTCTCAAGTGCCATTCAATTATTTGTTTAAGCCAGATGCTTTTGGGTAATGAGGCATATATCAGTCCACTATTGGTACAATAATGCTGTACAATAAAATGCCCCCAAACTCAGAGCCCTAACGCCACAGTTACTTATTCTCAGTCATGCAGTTAGGGGTCAGCTTGTCTGGGCTGTGTTCAGTTTGACTGGTCTTCAAGCTACAGATTGGCTTCAGGTCTTTTCCAAATATTTCTCACCTTCCTTGGACCACTGGGCCAGGCAGCTGTGTGTTCTTTTCACGGTGACAGGAGAAGCAAGGAAACAAACTGAACTAAACAGCATATTTTAAGCCACTGCTTGGATCACATCTGGTAATATCCACACAGCTAAGTCCAATGTAAATGAAGTAGGGAAGTCTATTCTTCCCATGCAGGAAAAGGGACTATTGCCAATATTTTAACCAATAATCTAATTTAACACACAGTGTATGGTTAGACTACTGGATGCCATAAGTTTGCTGTCCTGCTTCCTTCACTGAAAATGTGTTCCCTGGTTAGAGGATACAACATTCTGTTTGACCATAGAGGTTAGTGCTGCAGGCAGGAAGGGCACATCCTTATAGGACTGTATATCTATGCTCGGGAGACATATAGCTGTCCCCTCCAAAGGTCTAATATAATTTACTCCTGCCATGTGACCAAAGCATAGAATGCTATTGGGTCATCAGTAGCCATTCAGATGAGCCATGATGAAGGGCAGCTCATGAGGTTGAACCCAGGCATAGCCTCCAACCTGTTATGATAGCCATTTGTATGTGGGCTCTTGATGCAAGACCTGGGGTGTTTGAGGAAAAAGGCCAACATTCCCAGATTACAATAATGTCCTACCATACTGAATGCCCTCAGATGAATGTTTACATAGGACAAGAAATAGGTCTACTCACAAGCCTCTCCTCCAGATTTCCTGTATCTAATCTCCAGTCTTATTCTTTCCAAGACTCTGATGAACTTGTGACCGAATGAGCCTAAAGAAGTCCCCAAAAGAAACATACAGACCTCAACTCATGCAAACAATGAGTAGGTTGTAGGCTTACTGACTTCTGTCACAGAAAATAATTTTAGGACATGTGAGTGAATAGCATGGAAAGGTTTATTAGGCAGAATTAAAGAAGTACACACTTTGAGAGAAGAGATTGGCAGGGGGAGACACTCATTATGGGTAGTCTGGAGTTGGGAATTTTTATGTGATCTTGGGGGAATCTTCGTGATGGATGATCTAGGATGTGTATTCATAGTGTCTGCCAGGGTAGCCCATTTTGTGGGCTAAGTTAGAATGCAAACCATGTGCATGTGTTTGAAGTTTAGAGATATACAGTATAGCCCCATGAAGTCCCAGTTCAGAGTTCTTGGCCTCGGTCATTGTTAGATTTTTTCCATAGAACCTAACTAATAAGTGTTTGTGGAAACCCCCACAATTTCAAGGAAATTGCAAATAACCCTCCTAATTGTCTTTTTGGCGGGAGGGTTGCAAGTAGCCAACCCGAGAGTGTTATTCATTTCTCCTTGCTGCTGATTGGCTGCTGCCCGCCATCTCCAGCAGATGCACCAGCATTCCCACATCATAATAGGTTGCTCTATTGCATAGCCATAGTGTATAGCTATCTTCAGTGTTCTCAGATTTTATTCTTCTTAAAGCCTTAAGGTCCCTAAGATGCTGCCAAAATGTCCTGCACCTAAGGGAGACATAGCATATTTAGGGTTTAAACTATAAAAATTGGCATTTATGGGCATTTTTCTGACCATATCTGAAATTCGCGATTTTTCACAATTTTCGGGTTCTCTAGAAACGTAACCCCCGTGAATTTCGGGAGTCCACTGCACTGCCTATTTAATAATGTTGCTTCCTCGAGGATGGAAATCATTGGGGAGAAAAGAGAAAGTCCACCTTACAGGCTTATTGTATTTTTAAGAGTGTTGGGAATTTTTGGGAGTGAGTTTCTGGGAAGGGAAAAAGGCATTGAAACCTTGGATAAGTTTGTGTCCTGAAGCTGCAGTTTTTCTTAAAAGTAGAGTTTTAAAATTATGATTTTTCTTATCCCCTTTCCACCTCTCTATTTTCTTCTACCCTACCTCAAACTGGCTGAGGGTACTTTAGCCAGTACCCACTCTAGTTACATCAGAAGTGAAGCCGGGCATGGTGGCACATACCAGTAATCCAAGCACTATGGGAGGCTGAGTCAGGAGAATCATAAGTTTGAACCCAGTTTGGGCAATTTAATGACTTAATGAGACCATGGGTCAAAGCAAAATATAAAAAGAGATTTGGGAATGTAGCCTAGTGCAAAGGCCTTGGGTTCAATCCTGGTCGCACCAAAAAAAAAAAGTAAAAAGAAAAGTGGAAAACCAGACATACTGCCAGAGTTCTACCATCAGAGATGACTTCCTGGCCAGGGATGTAGCTCAGTGGTTCCAGCGCCTGCCTTGCAATCGCAAGGTCCCGAGTTCAACCCCTGGTACCAAAAAAAAAAAAAGATACAGAGATGACTTCCTTTCACCAGTGTCTTCTCAGATGCCCACACCCAAGCAAGTCCAGGATACAATCGGTGTCCATGCCTCTGCCAACATCCACCTGACTGAGCAAGGCAGCATCGTCTCCATCCTCACCCAGTCAAGCCTTTCCATGACTGCAGCTCCTGCTCACAGCAAGACACAGGAGAGACCCTGAGCCAGAATCCCCTGCTAAGATGCTTCCAAATTCCTGACCATCAGAAACCGTGTAAGGTCATACAAGTTGTAATTTGCAGCAGTGGATAATCACTTTGTAGTTTGCAGCTGCAAACACAGAACAGCAAAGAAGGGTAAGGTTATGAAATTTGGTGAAGTATTCTCTATGAAAATAATACAAAAGTATTTCACTCATATCCCTTTTTTTTTTTTTATAGAGCCAGGGATCGAATTTAGGACGTTGTGCTTGCGAGGCAGGTGCTGTGCCACTGAGCTAAATCCCTGGCTCCTTGACTCATATTCTTGATAGCCCTAGACCCTGAGTGATTTTTAGAATTCCTTCTATAACAAAAACAAAAAATCTCCCTGTCTCAAGGACAAACTCTGGAATTTCAATACGTTGAAAAACGATGTTACCCTTTGTTTAGTACATAGTATATTCCAGGCAGGCAGTCCTCTTACATTATCTTTCACCGATATGGAAACTGACGGGTCAGGTAATTTATTTCAAGACACACAGTAAACGGCAGAACCAGAATTCCAAGCCAGATTTATATTCCACAGCCCTGGTTCTTTCCACTTCGTTATCACAGCCTCTCTAAAAGTGATCCCGGGGCGCCCATAGTCTTATTTATTTAACTTTTTGTTGTTGTTGTTGAAACATAGCTTGGCTATGTAGCTCAGACTTGCCTCAAATTTGCGCTCCTCCTGCCTTAGTTTCCTACTGCTGGGATTACAGGCGAGCAGCTCCACGCCTGTCTAAATTTGAAGTTTTCAAAGGGAAAGTTTAGTAGGTGTGAACTCAAGGAAGCAAGAATTGAAGCCGGAGCTGGATCTCAGGGAGCGCTTAGGAAAGACCCAGTTTACGGGGCTGGGCGGGACGCTTCCGGGCCGGAAGTTGCTTTGCCCTGAAAAATCATGGCGGCGCCGGCGGCGCTCGCCCTCATCCCGTAACCAATGGAGCCCCGACTTTGGCCCTACTCACGCTGATGACCGCGGCTCTAGAGTATATGATGCAACGCCCGAGTCGAGGAAGTCGCTGGTGCACGTTGGGGTGACAAGGCAGTGGTGGTATTGCAGGGTATGTCCTTGGAAGTGGTCAGGACGACCGCAAGAATGGTTCTGGGTGAGTGAGACTTGGCATGGTGAGGGGGAACCCTGGTCCCTTAGCCCTTGGCGCAAGGTGGGCGCCTCCAGAGGTTGGTGGAACGCTTTGTGGGGCGGGGGGGGGGGTGATGCTCGGTGGCCCAGGCTGGGCTCCCCTTGAGCCCCGCGTGCCCCGGTGCTGCAACCGTGGCCGGGCCCGCCCCACTGCCAAAAGTCGCGTGATTCCGCTGGGACTTGGGCGATGTGAGGGCTCAGGCATAGTGTAGCCTGCAAATATGCAGTTCTTCAAAGTGATCTCCAGGAAAGGAGTTTATGTATTTTAATTCTCTGTTGTACATGCTTCCTTTTGTATTGAGATTTCCAGTAAGAGAGAAAAAAATTAGGAGATCTGGGCTGATGTCACATCTAGGCTTCTGCAGTTGTGAGGCCTTCTGCACTTTTTTGGAGGGGAGGGGGTGCCGCTATGTAGCTCAGGGTGGCCTTGAACTCACGGTGATCCCCCTGCCTCAGCTTCCTAAGTGCTAGGATTACAGGCATGGGCCATCGGGCCCACCTCACCTTCTGCAATTTGTTTAACCTCAGAACTTGGGTTTCTTAAGAAACTGATATTTTCATTAGCCATCTGCACACTGGCACGGGGATGTCTGATCTGTATGTGTTGTTTCACCGTCAGTATAGCTCTTCAAGATGAATATCGTTTTCCTTGTTTTATAGAAGAGGAAGTAAGCTCGGATAGGTCAAGTAAATTTCCCAGGGTCACCCTGGTTTTTAAGGTACCACAACTAGGATTCCAGTGTAGGTCTGGCTATAACTAAAGACCCTGCTTTGTTGATGGGTAGTCAAGTAGATAGAAACAGTATCACAAATTAAAATGAACAAAGAGTTCATTTTGAAAAGCGAAATTTATAACTCATGTTTTTAGGAGATACATTTCCTTGAGATAGGAGGGTGATTATTTTGGACTGTGGTAAATTTTCCTAATCTAGTGCTTATTCTGTTTACAAACATAAAGAAACAGCTAAAGTAGTTGCATTATAAAGTGCCTGAGTTATTGGTCAAACAAGTAACTTATTCTCATTTTGTGAAACAGCAGAGTTGTATGTGTCCGACCGAGAGGGAAATGATGCTACAGGAGATGGAACCAAGGAGAAACCATTTAAAACAGGTCTAAAGGTAGTGTCTCTTCTCAAAGAAAAATGACTCTGCATTTATTAATGGCTTTTGTCAATGACATATGACTTGTCAAGAATTTTATTTTAAGCACTAGGTTTTGAGTAGAATATCAGAAAAGGGAGAATAAGGAATATTATACAGAGTCCACCAAATAATATATGCACATTTCAGAAAAAGAAAAAAATAAATGTCTGGAAGCTAACGGCCACCACTTTGAGCACCTCTTATAATTGTAGAGGCCAAAGGTAACTTGTATTAATCTCATGATTTCTCAGTAAATTTAGTATTAAAATATTTATACAAGCGTTTCTTTTTGGACTCTGCAGATGTGTAGCTTTAAGAGTGCTGGATGATTAGAATCTAAACTTCTTTGAACATTTAAAACATTTGTCTTCCTTTCTTCTTTCCCACAAGTCATTGGATATTGAGATTTTTCTAACATGTCAGGTTGCTGGTTTTCATTTTTTGTAAGAATAAAAATCATCTTTCTGTGGTCTTGCTGAGTGTGTGACCTGGTGATTCCTAAGAGGCCTGTGGGTGAATTTACTTCTATGCAGCAGTGACCTTGAACCTCGTGAATGAGAAGATTTTTATCAGTACAACCAAGAATGCATACGTTTCTCAGAGCAGACTCCTGGATCTGGAATTCAAAATACAATTCCAGTTTATTGATGTGCTACTGTTTCTCCCAAACCAGAATCTTCAAATAAGTTTAACACATTTTTTCTGAGAAGACTTAAGTGGAAACCAAAATACAAGCCGAGGGGTTCTTCAAGAGCTTGAACTCACATGTTTGTTAGGTAACAGTTGCATCCATCTTAAGTTAGGCACAGAAGGTTTCTGTTGAACTAGAACGCTAGGATCCTTTGGTTACAACTGCCACATAAAGGAGATAGTTAAACTGCTCTTCCTTGGAAAAACAGCCCTGATATTTCTTCTTCTGTGCATCCATACCTGGGCAATTCCCTTTTTTGTTAGTTGTGTTACAACATTTACAGTAAAACCTTGGTTTTTGAGCAGAATTCATTCTAGAAACATGCTTGTAATCTAAAGCACTTGTATATCAAAGCGAATTTTCCCATAAGAAATACAGTATACTCTGTGAAATCATGGTTCAGAGTTTGCAGCCTCAGTCATTCCCAGATTTTTCCTTATAACCTAACTAATAATTGTTTGTGGATACCCCTGCAATTTCAAGGAAACTGCAAATATCCTCCACCATTGTTTTTTTGGCGGGAGGTTTGCAAGTAGCCAATCTGAGAGTATTATTCAGTTCTCCTGGCTGCAGATTGGCTGCTGCTCTGTAACCCATCTTGGCAGATGCACCAGCATTCCCGCATCGTAACAGGTTGCTGTACCATGTGTAGCTATCTGCAGTGTTCTCAGTTTTGTTCTTAAAGCCTTAAGATCCCTAAGATACCACCAAAATGCCCTGCACGTTCTAAGGCTTCTGGCAATAAACCTAAGCCCCAGAAGAAGCTTAAGACACTCCAGGAGAAGGGTGAACTACTGGATTTGCTCTGAAAACAAAAGTTATGCCATGGTAGCATAATAGGCATTTTTCTGACTATATCTGAAATTCACCGTTTTTCACAATTTGCAAGTGCTCTAAGGAACATAACCCCTGCGAATTTTGGGCGTCCACTCTAATGGAAATTCAGATGATTTGTTCCAAAACCCAAAAATATCCTTAAAAAATGGTTATAATACTGTAATATAATATGAAATAATAAAGAAAATACAAAATATAAAGAAAAATATATTAATCTGTACTTACCTTTGAAAATTGCGGTTGGTGTGAGGGAGACAAGTTTATTGTACAGAATGACTTACCATCACTAATGGAATGACTGCTGTTTCTTGGCTTAATGGAGTCTATTACTTTCAGTACAACTTTAATAAGGAACCTATCCAATGACATTTGCTTTTGCCTCCTTTTGAGAATTTCTCAGAAATATGAATTGCATTGTTGTTAAGCAGATTCATTGCTTGCACTGCTACAGCCTTATTCCAGTGGTGCTTTTTCTACAAAATTTTGCAGTTTCCCACATTTTACACATCTCCCTAATCTCATTTGAAGTGAGGGTTCCCGCACCTTTTTCTCCTACTCTGCAGAGGAGAGATCTCCTTCATAAGCTCTTGCTGTTGAGCAACGTTTACCTGCAATCCTGCAGTGGGGGTGGGGCATTGACTTAGTTGTGATCATGTGATGTTTGGTGTCACATACTTCTTGTATTGCAAGACATCACTCATTTATCAAGTTAAAATTTATAGAAATGTTTCTTCATCTTGTGGAATACTCACAGAACAAGTTACTCGAAATTCAATGTTTTACTGTATTATCAAATCTTTCTAATCTGGGAGCATTCTCTTCTCTTTAAGGTTAAACCATATGGTTATGCTCTGGTGTGTCATACATGGGTCTTGCTTTTTATCTCTTAGAGGGAAATCTTTCTTTTCTTTCTGAGTTGTTGGGGTGCCTCCCTCAAACTGACTACACCATTTAGGTGAATGAATATGTGCAGAATGTCAACTGTTAGCAAAAGTGTGCCATTCCTATTCAAGATAGGACAGTTTAGCTCTTTCAATTTCAGTGATATAAAAGAGGAATCAGTACAAACTGTCAGGTAATAATTGAATGTTGAATTGCCTGCAGATACAGCCAGGCGTTGGTTAGCGACCAGGACAGAGTGTACTTGCACAAAGATGGCTGTTACACAGAAGGTGATAGAATCTTATGGGACATAGTTGGATATGTGGTTCATCATTGATTGAAATGTTATGTGGTACATGATGGCACCCTGTGGTGTCTTAATTTTTGAAAATGTGGACTTTTGGATGTTTTATAAAGACTCATGTTCCTTCCTTGTATTCATTAAGTTGAGACTAATGGCCCTTCCTTTTTTTTATTAGTGCATGTTTATAGTACATAATGATTACATTCATCATGAGGAAATGGTACATGTACATGGCACATCTTAATTCTTTCTATGTCCCCTTCACCTCCCTTCACTCTCAGCTGCACTTTTTTCCCCACCCTCCTCCCTCCCACTTCCATTCATGTCTTTTTTTCCTATTATATAACTTTTATTTTACTCATTTTTATATTTTGGGTTTCTCATATATAAGAGAAACTATGCGATATTTAAGCTTGTGTGTCTGATTCACTTAACATTATGATCTCAAGGTGCATCTGTTTTCCTACCATTAACTCGTTTATCCTTCTTTATGGCAAACTAATACTCTATTGTGTATGTATACCACATTTTCTTTATCCATTTATGTGTTGATGGATATATATAGGCTGCTTGCTAGTTTTACCTATTGTGAATTGTGCTGCTGTAAATATGGGTATGCATTGAAATATGTCTTTAACTCTTATGGGAAGATACCTAGGAGGGGAATAGCTGGGTCAAATGGAATTTCTTGTTTTAGTTTTTTAAGGAAACTTCATATTGATTTTCATAATCAGTGGTGGTTTACATCACAATCAATAGGAAGGGTTCCTTTTTCCCTACAGCCTAGCCAGCATTTGTTATCCGATTTCTTGATGGTAGTCATTCTTTCTGGAGTAAGATGTTTTAATTTGCATTTTTCTAATGGACAGTGATGTTGAACATTTTTTCATGTATTTATTGGCCATTTGTGTTTCTTTTTGAGAAGTACCTGCATTTTTTGATGGATCTTTTATTTTGGAGAGTTTAATTATTTTGAGTTCATGTATTCTAGATAGTCCTCTACCTGAGAAGTAGCTGGCAAAATTTTCCAGTTCTGTAGGTTGTATTTACTCTGTTGGTTGTTTCTTTTTCTGTGCATCAGCTTTTGTAATTTGATATGATCCTATTTTTTGATTCTTGGTGTTAAATCCCTTGTACAATTGGAGTTTGGTTCAGAAAGTCCTTGCCTGTGGCTATGTCTTCAAGCGTTTTACCTTTTTTGTCTTCCAGCAGATTAAATGTTTCTGTTTTAATATTTAGATCTTTGATCCATTTAATTTTATTTTAGTACATGGTGAGAAATATGAGTTAGGTTTCATCTTTAGCATGTGGATAGTCAGTTTTCCCAGCACCATTTGTTAAAGAGGCCATCTTTCCTCTTGTGAAAGTTTTTGGCCCCTTTGTCAAAAATTAGGTAGCTGAAGGTACTTAGAATTGTTTCTGCATCCTCTATTCTGTTCCATTGATCCATATGTCTGGGTTTTTTTCCCAATACCATGCTGTTCTTTATCACTGTAGCTTTGTGGTATTAATGTTCCTGTAGAGTAGGTTGATTTTTCTAAGCTACAGGTCTTGCCACCAGAGGAAATAATTCATTGTGTTTTCTTTTGTTTTCTCTTTCCCTACCCAAGGCTTTGATGACAGTAGGAAAAGAACCATTTCCCACCATTTATGTAGATTCACAAAAAGAAAATGAGGTAAGGTGAACCCAAAACTTTTCAGCATTATACTTTGTGAATAAATTTTGAATTGAATTTAAATATTGAATAAACAAGTCTTGGGTAAAATTAAGTATCTGTTTTTCTCTCTAGCGGTGGGATGTTATTTCTAAATCACAGATGAAGAGCATTAAAAAAATGTGGCATAGGGAACAAATGAAGAATGAATCCCGGGAGAAGAAAGAGGTGACTAAAGCTTACCACTATACATGTTTTACCATTTGGAATGCTGAAAGCTGTGTTCATGTGTTGACTTATTATTTAAATTAGGCAGAAGATAATTTGCGAAGAGAAAAGAACCTGGAAGAAGCCAAGAAGATTACCATTAAAAAAGATCCGAGTCTGCCAGAGCCAGAGTGTGTAAGTGTGCACATCGCTTCCTGTATCATGGGCTGGCTCACGTCATGTCATTAATTTTAGCTTTGAGGAGTAGGCCCCATTGTTTGTCCTTGACATTGATTGTCTTTCCTTTTAGAATGGATAGAGAAAGATTTTAAGGCAGGGAGGCTGGTTCTTTAGGTGTTTGCTTTAACATAGAGTGTAGTAATTGCATATTAAACACATTCTCTTTTGACCGTCCCAGCAGACCTTGGATGCAGCCCTGGCTGTGTGGTGTTGGTCAAGTGATTTGACCCTCTTGAGTATCTGTTTCCTCACCATAAGATGAGGCAGAAATCCATGACTTTTATAAAGTATGTGATTCTGTGAAATTGGGTTCATTCTTTCCTTCTGGAACCCAAACAGCTTGCAGCACTGTGAATGGACATGGTTTGAGTCCCAGTCGTTTTCTTGCTGATAATTGTCATATTTTCCCTATTTAGTGATGGAATTGTTTTCTTGGCTATGTTCACCACCCCCTTCCTCTGTACGTCTCCTCTCATCTTCATCTTTCAAACAGAAAGCCTTATTTTTAGCTCCTCGGCCCCAGAGTGTATTGAGGGACTGTGAGGTCATGGAAAGGGCCCTGTGTGGCTAGGATTGTTGCTACTGTGGGGAGTAGGTGCTCTGCTGGTGACAAATTGAATTGTTTATTAACTGATTTTCTATGGCAGTATCTGAAAACTTTCTGGGTGCCTCTCATTGCCAGTTTTGCATTAAGAAAAGACTTGGGTTTTTGTTTTTTTCTTTTAACCATTTTAATATGGTGAAATTTTTCAGTTCTAACCTGCCTAGTGACTGCCTCTAATTTTGTATTATAACTTTTTTAACACTTTATTACTACCCACTTAATATTAATGAAAATATTAGTATGTGATAAATGACATAGTTGTTCAACTATTATTTATTTTAATTTATAGGTGAAGATTTGCGCATTAGAGAGATATAGAGGCCAAAGAGTAAAGGTGTTTGGCTGGGTCCATAGGCTGCGTAGACAAGGTGAATGGTACCGCTTTTCTTTTCCTCTTTAATTTCATACAGCTCTGGTCTTAGATAGAGAAGAACATGAAGGCATTTACTTGGGTTTATTCAGAATTTTTGGTTGTTGTGTCATTGTTTTATTTTGTTGTGCTAGCTTTTAAATAGATACAGTGATTTATATTCTAAATTTATTCTTATTTAACATGACTAAAGTTTAAGAATTATTTAAATATATTGTTAACCGATAGCAACCGCAATAATCAGGTGTCCAGGAAATATTTGTCCAATTGAATTTTAGTTATTTAATGAAAAACCGGAGATAGGTTACAAGAAGGCCAGATCCTGATCTAAAACTTGCCTGTTGTGTTTAAACTCTTAAATAATGGGCATATTTGCATTCTGCTTCTCCCTTGGTCCTCATGTTTTGCTCTCTCTGGTTTTTTTGTTCCTCTGTGGTTCTGAGGATCAGACCTAGGGACACTGCCACTGAGCTGCTTTCCCTACCCCTTTTTATTTTTTATTTTGAGACATGGTCTCGCTAAGTTGCCTAAGCAGGACTCAATCTTTGATCCTTCTTCCTTAGTCTCCCTTGATGCTGGGATTACAGGTGTGCATCTCTGTGTCCAGCTGCTTCCTCTGTCGTTTTATAACGTATTATTTTTATCATGATTATCAAATCATTCATGAATAAAATGGAACATAAATGAAGAAGAGAGTGCTTCTGTTCAGCAATATTTATGCCCCTCCCACTGAGTGCACAACACTACTGTATGTGTCAGGGGATTCAAGGGTGAATAAAACATAATCCTTCAGCTCATTGCTTATTATCTTGCTGACCTATGGGTGTGTGGATCATGAGAATTGCATAAGATTTAAAAGCACAATGAAAATGAAGTGCTTTATGCATATTGTGTAGCAGTGTTACTGGGCATGTCAAAATAAGGAGGTCACATGAGAGGCTTAAACTTCCCATGTTTAACCTTGAAGTTTCCTTTATGTAAGATTAAATTATGAAAAGTACTCCGATCACTTCAGAACAGTCTGGCTAGATTTCTGTTTCTCATTTTTAGGAAAGAATTTAATGTTCCTGGTGTTGCGGGATGGTACAGGTTATCTTCAGTGTGTCTTGTCAGATGATTTGGTAAATATTTTCTTAGACTTTTTCAGTAGCTTTATTATTTTAAGGATTTTTAGATCTGTATAAATATTTTAAACTTATGTTCAGCAAATGCACTTGTCAAAATATGCTATATGTCATAAATACAAAAATTTTAATTGTTAATTATACCTTAATAAAGCCGGGAGGGCTTTTATTATGGGAAAATTTGCAATGTACAAAATGTACAGCATAAAGAACCTTTATCATCCAGTTCCAATAAATACCAGTATATGGCCAGTCCTGGTATGATGTTGCTGTCTTAGACGTCATATCATTCATTCAGGTACACTTCTGTGTGCATTTTTCAGAAAGAAAACTTTTTCAGTACTAAGATTGAACTCAGTGCCCCAAACTGAGCTACATTCCCAGTCCTTTTTTATTTTGAGACAGGGTCTTGCTAAATTGCCCACACTGGCTTTGAACTTGTCCTCCTCCCTCAGCCTGCCAAGTAGCTGGAATTATAAGTGTGTACCATTTTGTCCAGTTAGAAGAACTTTTTCATGTGCAATACAGTGGACCCTTGAGTTATGACCAGCCTGGGTTATGACTGGAATTTTAGTTTTTTGACAAAAGTCTTAAGTTACGACCCACATACTGGCCACTTGTGCTTCCAAATGGTTTGAAACAGCCGGGGATTTAGCTCAGTGGTTCCGCTGCCTGCCTCACAAGCGCAAGGACCTGAGTTTGATCCCTGGTACCAAAAAAAAAAAAAAAATGGTCTGAAACAGATTTAACCCTTAAAGAATTCTGGAAGGAACATTATGACATCCTTTCCTGTGTGAGGCTAATTGAGAAATCCTGGGCCAATGTCTCTCTGACACTGAGATCTGCCTGTATACAGGAGAGAGACTTTGTGTACATTTTTTTTTTTTTTTTGATACCAGGGATCAAACTCTGGACCTTATGCTTGCAAGGCAGGCGCCGGAACCACTGAGCTAAATTCTCGGCCCAGGAGAGAGACTTTGTTTTTGTTTTTGGTTTTTTTTGGTACCAGGGATCGAACTCAGGTCTTTCCGCTTGTGCAGCAGGCAGCGAAACCACTGAGCTAAATCCCCGGCCCAGGAGAGAAACTTTGAAAGCTGTGTAGAAGAGCCTGAGCCTTCAATTGACCAACTCGAGTTACAACCAGCCCTTGTGAACAAATTGAGTTCATACATCAAGGGTTCACTGTACTTAACCTGACATTATCACCTTCCACCAAGCTAGTACAACTCCTAAATATTATCTGAAACCCTGTCAGATTTTCCTGATTGATTCATAATACCTTTTTATGGTTGGTTGATTTGAATGAAGACCCAAACAATATCTCCATCTTGCATTTAGTTGATATAACTCTGGATTTGGTTGATTATATCCTTGTGGTATCATTTAACATATTCCTTTGATCGCTGTATGATTAACAAACTATAGAGACTAGGTCTGGATAGGTTCAGTTGTTTTTGTTTTGTTTTGTTTAGCCATGATTACTTCATGGGAAAAGCTGTGCTCTTCTAATTGCATTATATCAAAAGGCATGTTATGTCTGATTGTCTCTTTTGTAATTGGTGGGTTTAGGTGTTGACAGTCTGATATCCTCCATTGTCAAGCTCCCTATCACCATTCTAATGACTTCAGCAAGTATTTATCATCAAAGTGTAGATGGGCTCTATCTGTTAATTAAGTGGTCTGGATTTAACCATAAAAATGAACTGTCCAGATAGATTTAAATGAAGGACAGTAGTGTCATTTATGCTTATATTATGTATGTTTGTAAAGTGGGGTGCATATATATATATATATATATATATATATATATATATATATGCCTATGAATAGCCAAGTGTCACTTGACAAGGGTCACATTCTGAAAGATGAACCTTAGGCAATTTTGTTGTTAAATGAACATCATAGAGGGGCTGGGGATTTAGGTCAGTGGTTCTGGCGCCTACCTCACAAGCACAAGAACCCGAGTTCAATCCCCGGTACCAAAAAAATAAATAAGTAAATAAAAATAAATAAAAAAATGAACATCATAGAGTACTTACACAAGCTAAGACAGCTATCATGCCACTATACGATATGATCTCATGGGATGACCACCGTATGTGTAGCCTGTTGTTGCCAGAAACATTGTTATGTGGTGTATGGCTCTATTGATAAATCTGTCTTCTGCAAGAATAGTTATTCTTTCTTAATACTAAAAATCGGTGGCAATCTCATTTTTTATTTTATTAGCATTTGACCTGGCAACTTATTTGTAAATAATCCTGTTAACTTTACCTATGTTAGACTATTTTAATGTGAATAACTTCTTTTGAACTTTGATCTTTTTATAGTGTCAGTGTTACAATGGAGTAGTTTTGTCCACTGAGAGTAGTGTTGCAGTATATGGAATACTAAACCTTACTCCAAAGGGCAAGCAGGTAAGTGGATTGATCTTCTCATTGAGTGAATAATAGTGTTTGTTCTCACATGTTTTTGTCTGTACTTTTGATGTTTAGCATATAAATACACTAATCTGAAGCACTTGTAAGTTTAGTATGCTTTTTCCTTTTCCAGTGAAATATGTATACTATACAATTTGTCTTCTGTTTTATGTTGCTGTAACAGAATATAAAGAAAAATTTATTTCTTGGGAGTTTTAGAGGCTGGGAAGTTCAAGCTAGAGGGGCTACATCTGGTGAGGGCCTTCCTGCTGTGTCATAGGATGACGAAAGGCATCACATGGTGAGAGAAATGCTTGGGGTAGAAATCAGGATGGGACTACACTCCCTTTTGTAGCAAACCCAGCCACATGATAACTTTCAGCTAACCCAGTCCCCAGGTAATGAATTAATCCATCATGACCTAACCAACTCCCATTAGGCCCCATGTCTTAGGTACTTTTTCTTGTTGCTGAGACAAAATACCCGACATTCAAAGGAGGAAAGCTTTATTTAGCTCACAGTTTGTGGAAGTTTCAGTTCATAGTTGGCTGCTCCAAGGGAGGATGGCACACTAGAGGAGCATTGCAGAGGAGAAAGTTCTTGGTGGGCAGAAGGCAGCAAAGTAGCAAAGAAGCAGCAAGCAATGACAGCATCCCTCTTTCTGTCCCTTATATTCTATACAGGGTGGGCCTTCCTGTAATCTACACCCAGAACTATGCCAAACCAGTCCGTGGAGTAATTTAGTAATCACACCCTTGATCTCAGTATCACATACTTAATCCCAGCGTCACACACTCTGAGTCCAGCCATCTCTGCCCATCTAGGACTGCAAGACACAAGCCATGACACCCACCTCCCAGCACTGCTGGATTGACAATTAAATGTCCTTGTGACTTTTGCAATGGATAAAACTAAAACCACAGCACAATTCATATGATTAAAAAGAGCTCAAACTTTCAATTTCACAGAATTCCTGATTAATCTTCATGGGCTATAATAAAGCCATATGGGGTTTATGAATAACTGTAAAGGTAGATGGAAATAAACACTTTACAGCCTACCCAAAAATTTCAGAAGAGAACAGTAGTCTAAACCTGAAAGTTTCTGTACAGAATTTGAAAGCCTTTTTTTAAAAAAAATCAAACATTTCTGATATTCAGAGAGCTATTTGTTCTATAGCCAAAGACACATAACCTATTCCAGTTCCAGTTACTTGTTAGTAATTATAGTTCAAATAATTATTAGTTGGTTAGGAAGGAAAATAAACGCATGTAATATATTAACCACAAGAGGGAGCAAATAGCCCTAATCAACTAGAAATACATTGAGATCTCATAGAGTCCATGTAAAAGAGCATGTAATAAGATTATCCGGGGGCCATACCTGCCTTGCAAGTGCAGGGTCCTGAGTTTGATCCCCAGTACTGGGAAAAAAAAGATTATCTGATTCAAATTCACTTAGTTTTCTTGGAAGTAATGTGATTGCAGAATAGAGTGGTTGTCATGATGTTACTTGTCATTTGTGTTTAGCACCAAGATAATTATATATTCCATGGTGTTACTTTTAAAATGAATTGCTTTTATGAAATTATTAGGGAGAAACTATATTTTTACATATATATATCCCCAATCAACAGCTTTTAGTAAAACCTTTCCATTTTAAGTTTTTCAATGTGGATAGATTAAATTATTGGGCAGAGATTAGAAAGATACACCAAAATGTTAATAGTAGTTAGTATTTACTCCAGGTTGCAAGATTACAGTTTATTTTCTAGTTCATACTTTTCTATTTTAAAAAAGAGTGTGGCTGAATGATAGATATTGGGGAGTAGGAATAAAATGTTCAAATGGGAAAGGAAAGAAGGAAAAGAAAAAAAGAGTAGAAGAAAAAATGGAAACAAAGCTTTTATAAATAAAGAAGAAAGAAAGGTTGAAGGGAGGAGAAGGAAAGGAGAAAAAAGAATCAAGATATGTACAGGTACAACTTCCCTATTATAAATGTGATCATTATATATATATGTATCAAAAAATGTACCAATAAAATTAATCTAAAAAATACATGCATACTCAAAAGAGTGGGCACATTTACTCTGAAAGAAATATTAAATATAAAAATATTGTTAAAATTGAATTCCTGGTCTTTTTATTTGAAAGAATAAGGGTACTTATGATACAGTTCTTAGAAATATCACCTTATCAAAAATCTGGGCATAAAATGTTCAATACTGTTCAGTTATTATTTCCTTCTCCTTCTCTCCGTTTCTCCTCAATCTGCTTTCTTTGAAATATAGGCTCCAGGGGGCCATGAGCTGAACTGTGACTTCTGGGAACTCATAGGGTTGGCCCCAGCTGGAGGAGCTGATAACCTGATCAATGAAGAGTCTGATGTTGACGTACAGCTCAACAACAGGCACATGATGATCCGGGGAGAAAACATGTCCAAAATCCTAAAAGCACGTTGTACAGTCACCAGGTGCTTCAGAGACCACTTCTTTGATAGGGGGTACTATGAAGTGAGTATGTGTTAGTCTTCTTTTGCAAACAGTCCCTCTTTGCCATTTTGAGACTTGAAGAGCGGTCTTCACAGCGGGCCTTTTTTTACTCCTTTCCATATGAACAGGTTACTCCTCCAACATTAGTACAAACACAGGTTGAAGGTGGTGCCACACTCTTCAAGCTTGACTATTTTGGGGAAGAGGCGTTTTTGACCCAGTCCTCTCAGTTGTACCTGGAGACCTGCCTTCCAGCCCTGGGAGATGTGTTTTGTATTGCACAGTCATACAGGGCAGAACAATCCAGAACGCGAAGGCACCTGGCTGAGTATGAAATTGTCTTTTTGTTTTTATTTATTTTTAGAAAATATCTTTAGGGGAGAAAGCTTTATGTAGGTAAATTATATCTATATTTTAAAATTTCATACATTACAGGGATAATGAAAGTTTGCCTCTTAAGGCATAGCTGAGTTCTGTTTTTCACTTTGCTTTGTTCTCCGTGGGTTAAAGAATAAACAAGAAATACTACTCAAGGAGATAGAGGGGTGTCCAGACTAACTTACAGATTTGCTTTGTTAGCAGTGTTGGAGTTTTGCCTTTCTGGACAATTTCCCAGTGTCCAAATCTTTGCTTGAGAGAAACTTAATATAAAAGAAGAGTTAGGGCCGGGGATTTAGCTGAGTGGTGCTGCTGCCTGCCTTGAAAGCGCCAAGGTCCTGAGTTCGATCCCTGGTACCAAAAAAACAAAACAAAACAAAACGAAAAACAATAAAAGAAGAGCGACTGAGCCAGTGTCTTGTTCTCCAGATACACTCATGTGGAAGCAGAGTGCCCTTTCCTGACCTTCGAGGACCTCCTGAACCGGTTGGAGGACTTGGTTTGTGACGTTGTAGATAGAGTCTTAAAGTCTCCAGCAGGAAGCATAGTATCTGACCTCAACCCGGTAGGTGTAGTGTTTCATGGAAATCAAAGGATTATAATCCTTTTCTGGAAGACAGTGGAGTCTTAACTCTCACTTTTATTGATTTGATTTGAGCTGAAATAAGTGACTAATATTTTGAAGACTAAAATTTAATATTAGCCAGTGCCAGTAATTTCATATTTTAACTTTTCTAAGAGGAGGTCCATACATATTTTCCATTTGAGGGGTGTTAGCATAGTTTCCCACTCTGAAATAATCTGTTGTAATAATGATGAGTGGGTTTTGGTTAATGGACATTTTAAGGTTGGTGATTTCTTTATATGCCCTGTGTTTTTCCTTTCTGCATAGAACTTTAAGCCCCCCAAACGGCCTTTCAAAAGGATGAACTACTCAGATGCTATTGTGTGGCTAAAAGAACACAATGTAAAGAAAGAAGATGGGACTTTCTATGAATTTGGAGAAGTATGTATTCCTGTTCCTCCTGTTTCAGAGGTGGTAGTATGCTTAGGTGGATTGCTGTTCTGGTTAACTGGCTAATATAGAAGGCACCTGCTTCTTGGGCCTGTCGGTTCATTATAGAATGAGCATTGGCAAATGCATAGCCTTCCTTCCTATGTCATCCTTCATCTCTTTTCTTACCTTCATGATTGTTCTTTAGCCTAAGCTTTTAAACTCTAGGCTGGCAAGGATGCTTTTGAAGTTTATGAAGCCCTTGAAATATGTATAAAATATTGGTCTATGTATTTATTTGTTTTGTTTTTCTGCAAAAATGTTTCATACTTTCAAAAGGAATTCATTCTCCCCAGAATCAGTGATTTAAAACTGGTTGGAAGGAGATTCAAAGAAGGTAGCCACTGAATAAGATAAAACCAAGAGATGGGGCTGGGATTTAGCTCAGTGGTTCTGCCACCTGCCTCACAAGCGCAGGGTCCCAAGTTGGATCCCCAGTACCAAAACAAAAACCAAGAGAGAAGGCTTTGTTAGGGAACATGAGCTGGTACCCAGGATAAACTTAGCATGTTGATTTTGATTGTGCCTAGGAACCACCCTCCAAGCATGGACTGGGAACATGGATTGGCAGTAATATTAAAGGCCCTCATTCTTTTATGTTTAACCATTCTTTACATAATATTTGCAAATCTATTTGATAAGTGAAAAGTAGGTAGGTGCTGTTAACTAGAGTTTTGGTTTTTAACAAATTTATAGGGAAGACAAACAGTATATTAGATCTCTACAAATTACTCTGTCTTGTAAATTTGTATAATAACACAATTTTGAACAGAAAACTTGATTACTTTAGTATGCCTTGTACTCAGCAAAGTAATGTAATATTTGGCAAAGTGGGGAGTGGAAAGAACACAAGCTGTGGAGCCAGAATATTTCCCTCCCCAGGGTGGACTTATCTCCCATCTCTGTCCAGACCTGTTGTGTAACTGAAGACAAAAGACTTGTTCTCTTTTAAGTGATGAATCTCTACTTTGGAGGTGACATCTTCTGGATAAAGTTGTGGGGACTACCTGAGCTAAATGCCTAGCAGGGCCCATGGCACAGGAAGCCTCAGTGCATGTCAGCAAGCACTGTATACATGCTATCATCCCATGCACATGAAGGGGCTAGAGAGATGAGTGGTCTGTGGACTTGACATTGTGCAGTAAAGTCCCTCTTCTGGTAGTTTAATCTTGTGCAGAACCCCAGTATATTAAGCAGATACAAGCTAAGAGGCCAGAGCTCTCTCATTCATTTCTCATCTCCTCCTATACCTCAGAGAGTGTGGGACCAGAGAAGAGAACAGCTGTGCCACCTGATTGCTCAGCTCTTGTTTCAGGTTTTTTTTTTTTTTTTTTTTTTTTGGTACCGGGGATCAAACTTGGGTCCTTGCGCTTGTGTGCAGCAGGCAGCGAAACCACTGAGCTAAATCCCTGGGCCCTCTTGTTTCATTTCTTACATTAAACAAATCAATGAGTCTTGTCCAATTTTCTCAATCAGGTTTTTACTGGGACAAGAGTTTTTGGTTTGAACTTGAATTTATGTTTGGTTTACGGAAGAATGTTTAGAGAGAGAAACTGATTCATTTGATTCATCATCAACTAACATTTCCTGGCTAACTATTCCATATGTGGTTACACTTACAAACTTGATACTGGTTATTTGTCTTAACTGTCTTACTACTATTGAAGGCATAACTGATTTATTATAACAGGAAAGAAGTGCAGATAACTGAAGAGTTTAAAGATTAATGTCATTAATAACATACTTTTGTGTGTAGATCAATGATGTTCTGGAGCATTCACTGATTAGTTTCTACTTTATGAGGCTCAGTGGACCACAGTTTGCTTTAGAGCTTGATAAAACTGACCACTGAAAAAAATAACAGTGGTCAGCTTGGAGGTTTTTTGGTTTTTGTTTCTTTTCATTCCTCAAGAAGCATGAAGCTTGAGATGTACTGAAGAAGGAGGCAGAGCATTTTACAGTTCACTTAACAACTATGGATTTATAAAATAGGGTTTTGTTTTTTTCAAAAGAGATTGTTTCTTACACGAGTGTTTATGGATTATGGTTTAGTGTGCATTCTCTACCATGTTTCTTTGATGGGAGGAAGGGCTGGTACAGGGTGAAAGACCTGCTTCTGTCTTGTACATTTTGAGTCATAAATGTTAATCAAATCTTGTTTAACCTCAGGATATCCCAGAAGCTCCTGAGAGACTGATGACAGACACCATTAATGAACCAATCTTGCTGTGTCGATTTCCTGTGGAGATCAAGTCCTTCTATATGCAGCGATGTCCTGAGGATCCTCGTCTTACTGAATCAGTCAGTTTGTTATTTAGAGCATTAGAAATTTTGCTTTTTAAAAGAAGGGAGGTTGTCATTTGGAATGAGATACAGCTCATGACAAGTATTTCATAATAGAATGACAATAATTAGAGAAGTAGGTTTTTCATGTTCCCATGATTGGGATTAACATGCTTTGTTAGAAAATTTGAATATTTCAATTTTGCATGAACACAGTCTGGATTCCTTTAGCTATAGGAGCTTAAATTATAATTTTCATTGAAGCCTCACAACAATACTATGTTTGATAGCCTGGTAATAATTATGTGGTTTTTTTAACTTATATTCAAAGGTCGATGTGTTGATGCCCAATGTTGGTGAGATTTTGGGAGGCTCCATGCGTACCTGGGACAGTGAAGAACTCCTGGCAGGTTATAAAAGGGAAGGTATTGATCCCACTCCCTACTACTGGTATACAGATCAGGTAAAAATAGTTTTTTAAATTGTTGAATTTTTTTCATTGTGATAGTTCTGTATACATTGACATTTTTTAAAGGCGAGCATTCCAGATGGTACTTTGGTATTTGAATGAGTTGTACTTAGTTTTGTGCCTATAATAATAATAATACATGTAAAGGTTGCAATTATTTTCTTTGGCCAAGTTATATGTTAATTTCATTTGAATACCTCTACTCATTGCTAATTATCATTACATCCTACTAATATCTAGTACTATCTTTTATTTTTCTGTAATAAATGGAGATACCTAATACAAAAGATTCCAGGGAAATGTTTAATTCCTGGTTTTCATACTGAGTGTTTCTTTTCTTTGCAGTACTGGAGATTAAACCCATGGCCTTCACATGCTAGGCGAGCAACATCCCCAGCTCTTTTTTTTATTTTTTTAAAAAAAGCTTATTTTGAGACAGGATTTTGCTTCATTGCCTAGGCTAGCCTTGAACTTGTGATTCTCCTGCCTTAGCCACCTGAGTAGCTGGGATTACTGGTGTGTACTACCATGCCCAGTTTGAATTATTTCTTTACACATGGTTCATGAAGGTATATAGATTATGGGTTGAATTCTTAACCACAATGAGCTGACTCTTTCCACAGTGGAAAATTTTAACTTCTTTAGATAAAATTTTACAAACATTTACTCCTCTCATTCTTTCTCTCTCTCTGTCCCTTTTTATTTAACAGAGAAAATACGGTACATATCCTCATGGAGGTTATGGCTTGGGCTTGGAGCGATTCCTGACTTGGATTCTGAATAGATATCACATCCGAGATGTGTGCTTGTACCCTCGATTTGTCCAGCGCTGCAAGCCATAGTTGGTTCCTCTGAAATGTGAAGAAAAGAATACAATTCATGAAAAGAGCAGACTGCCTCTTTAAAAAGAAAAAAAAGACAAAAGGCCAAAATCTTCTCTTTTTTGTTCTGTTAGGGTATAACTGTTCCTCTTTTCTCTATTTTTTTTTATGCCTACTACCATAAAAAAGAGTACATTACTGGAACATCAAGTGACACTAATGTCATTGTAAGAGAAATTATGTGTTACAGAGTTTGGGGAAATATGTGGCACATAGCTTAGTAGTTGTAGGTATATTTCAGTATTTTATCCAGTTATAGGGTATAATCATTGTGTTTAATATACCATCTGTAATTAAATAGTTTTCAGTTATAGTCTGATCCATTCAAGTAATTTAATTCTTCTCTCCTTTTAAATGTAACTGAAATTCTTTTAATTTATATCATTTTATTGTATTGATGAGATAAACATCTTGGAGAAATTGGCAAATATGACATAAAAATCTGCTAGTATTAGAGAACAACTCAGCAGTACATAACTAGCATCTAATGAATCCAGCCTTTTGAATTTCTAAATTTGTAAGGCTGCTTATATGGAAGAATTTGTAGAAGTGGAACTTCCTTGAAATTGGAAATGACCATAATTTGCTGAGGAGGCATATTTGATGATTCACAGATTCCCTCTTACCATTAGTTTAAAATAAAGAGGTAGAGTGAGCTTCTCTCTTTCCTGGTGGTTCTTAAGTAATTAAGAAAAAGTAAGTTCTAAATGTATTTTCAGGTGGCTGTGTGTGAGTCACCCTGCCTTGTCTTTAGATCTGATCTGTGTTACCTTATGAACTCATCGTGGGCTCAATGAATGGCTTCCATGCAGATTGGGTTAATTTTTCTCCTCAGTGCATGCCGTGTATTCTCCATCAGCTGTATCCCCAGCAATCAATAAATGAACAGTAGTAAAACTCTTTGCTGGCTTAGTTTTCTCAAAGCTGAATATCTCTGTCTCATTAATATATCCCTTACACGTTTTTTAAATCTTTATATTTCATGGTGTGTACATGTAAAGTTAGATATTACTAAGTTCAGCAGGTATTACTAAAGATTTATGGTAATAAAGAATGATTTTTAAACATTAGATATTTGGGTCCTAGCTACAGCATTTTTATATTCTTTTTTTTTTTGGTACCGGGGATTGAACTTGAGTCCTTGCGCTTGCACAGCAGGCGGCGAAACCACTGAGCTAAATCCCCAGACCGCATTTTTATATTCTTATTTTTTAACACATTAGATTTTATCCTGTTTTGCAATTACATGAAAAAACAGGTGGAAATGGGGCATTTATAGCCTATTTGGCTTGTGTCTTTAAATAAAAAATACTTGGAAGAATGTTCATGAGCTCTACTTGGTTTCAACTAGGCAATTCATTAGATCAGAATTAAGTGAAGAGGTGGGCTGGGGATTTAGCTCAGTGGCACTGTGCCTGCCTTGCAAGCACAAGGTCCTGAGTTTGATCCCTGGTACCACAAAAAAACAAATTAAGTAAAGAGGCTAGACTCAGCTAACCTAAACTTTAATCGTTAGCTAAATGGGTTGAGGATTATAAAATACCACAGGAGAGTTAGGATTTAGCAGGATAAGGAAGTTGAGGTTATGGTCTCCTTAGGCCAAGAAATAGCGTGGTGAGCAGTAGACTTTATACACAGAGACTTCATCTCTTTTGCTGTGTGGTGGTTCTGCTCTGAGTGCCACAAATGCCATCCTTTGTCCCTGCCAAGGACCAGCTTACAGACACCTGTGCTTCTGACTTCTGGCACTTGTAGGACTGTCCTCCCTGGACTCTCATGTCATGACCTTTTTCTTACTGAAACCTGGTGATACTCACATTAAAAATCCCTTTCACTTTTGGCTCTTGTGTGGTAGACCTCAGAATTGGAAACAAGTGAGAGGCTGGTACCAGAACAACTCAAATGAGAGATGGCACCAAACATACTATACTCTTTTAGTATTCAGTAAATTTCAGGAGATGTTCAAGACTTTATTATAAATGAGGCTTTGTTAGATGATTCACTGAACTACAGGCTAATGTAAGTGTTCTGAACATGTTTTAAGGTGTGCTAGGCTGAGCTGTGATACCTGGTAGGTTATATGTATTAAGTGCATTTTTGATAGGATATTTTCAACTTGCAGTTTGTGGAGATGTAACCCCATTATAAGTAAAGGAGCATCTCAAATAGCAACTTTCCCTCTTAAATGTCCTTCAGCCATTTCTAGCAGCCCAGTTTTTCACCTTCTTCCTACCTTGTTGCCAGTTCATTCAGCTCCTTCTTAACCTTGTTTCTAACAATTCCTAAAAATGTCTACTACATAGAGCAGTTGAATTCTATCACAAACAAATCTGGCTATACACTGGGATCACTTGGAAACCTTATGAACAGTGGTGTCAAGGGCTTACCCTGGATCAGCTGAATCTGAGTTTCCGGGATGAGGCTGGGGGATTTCTTTAAAGCTCCCCAGGCAGGGCTATAGTAGAGTGAGGTTGACAGTAGGTGGCTCCCTTGTAAACTCAACCTTAAGCCTCCCTTATTACTACTGTAGGTCTTAATGACTTTGGATTAATCTCTGTAGTTAAAATGGAAAGCTGCAGTGAGGCTGAGAAAGGCTTACATTATTTTAAGTTACCTTATGTTCAATATTATTTCATTCAGCTTTTCTAGGAAGAAAGTTTTATCTTTAAAGTTTCCAGTTTAAGTTTTCGTCTTTCATCATGTTGGTTTTCTTTGGTTTGTTTGCATTTGTTTCCCGAGGCTTTTCTCAAATGTCAGATAATGCTGAGTGATCTCTTGATAATTCAGGAGACTGCAGTGTCCATTGGTTGCCCTGAGTGTGTGGTAAGAGATGTGATCTTCACTGTAGGCTGAGCTGCCTGGGCCAGTTAGTAGCCTGTCTGATCCCCCATGTCAGTGTGTTTAGGTCATTCTTGTTGGGCTGGGTGGGCTTCTTGTGAAACACTTCTGGGAAAAAGGAGAAGGCTGGATTTCTGCTCTAAGACGTACATATAGTTCATTACCTTCTGCAGTTTTCAGTGTGTTCCTGTTCTCAGCTGTGCCTGGGATCTGTAGTTTTGAGCTTTCTGCCAAATCTCTAGTTAGGATAGAATAGGGGAGCTGCCATCCCACTGGAGGGCAGGAACCTGAGTACTCTTGACGGCTGCTTTAATAGACTTTGAGTCCATTTCATTCTGGTGTCTCCTTTTCATCTACACTTCCAGAAGTCTCTGCTGTTGCCAATCCGGAGACATCTAGGGATTCTCTTGTATGAATCTGGATGGTTCTTTTCTTAAGATGGCCAGCTTAAGAGTCAGTTTTCTGTCTGCTGAATCAGTAAGCATTTATTCATCTGGCTTCCAGCTTGTAAAATTCTGTTGCTATGCTTCCCTTTTCTCCATCTTTTAAGGTTTGTGCTGGAAAACAAAAAGCACTACCATCAAAACTTCTGTTGGTATCCCAGTAGGGTTTGGGAGGAGAGTGGAAATACATTCATGGGCTCAAGCTCCCTCTTTACCTGGAGGTCATTACTCTGTATTTGAGAACAAGTCAGAAGGGATTGGGCATAAGCAAAGCAGAAGAAATGTTTAACTGGCTGTTAGGAAGGACAGACTACTTTTTATAAATAGGAAAAAGAAAGCAGTATGCAACTGTTAGAAGGTGGGAAGTGACATTTAAGCTTGGGTCATAGAAACAGGAAGATAGTCATTATTCTTGAGCTACCACTGTTAGAAAAGAATTTCCTTAGTGTATTGAAATTCAGCTATGAATCTGAATTCATAATTGTCTGACTTGCTGATAGTAGCTCTTACAAACCCATGACTCACTAGAGATGCATGGGTGAATGGTTGGAACTCAGGGCTCCCTGACTCCTGCTAGCTGCCACTTTTTTCTCTTTTGAAATGCATCCTGAAGGAATGGGGCAAGCCCAGGATTGGAACCAGACATACTAGGTTCAAATACTGGCTGTGTTCCTTGTTAACTGTAGCCTCAGACAAGGCACAGGACCTCTGTAACTTCATCTGTAAAATAGGGTAATACTATCTGCAAAATGGTAGCAGTGATTAATGGTAATTTGGCACTTAATAAGTGGAAAACATTATCACTGATTCTTCTTCCTGCTGACTAAATGTGAGTGTGCTCACCCAAGCATCCTTATTATAGTTTGTTAGTGAACCCATGTTCATTTACTCGCCAGATTTACTGGATAAATATCTCCCCATCCCCAATCTTAGCTGAGTGTGAAAAGACATCTGAGGAGTTCAGAACTGGAGGGGAGAAGGGAAAGAGGTCTCAAAGGCAGAAGTGTTAGATGAAGGCTGGGGGCTAACAGGAGAACAGCCCAGACAAAGGCCCTGAGGAGTCTTAAATTTTATTCAAGTACAGCATTCAACAGGAAGGTGAAGCAAGGGATAGATTCCCCTTGTGAAAGGGGCTCAAAAGCCTGGTCTTTCTGTGAGGAGAAATCCAGAAAACAGGCCCTCTACCCCAGAGTGGGATAAAGAAGATTTCTACTGCCTAGAACTCTGGGTAGGGAGTAAAAGCTTCTTAGGCAGAGGTGCCTTCCTGGGTTGTGAATTTATACATCTGCAAAGAGTAGGACTGCTTGGCCAAGAATTTAACACTAACCTGTCCAAGGCAGGTGAGATTCCTGGGTAATGGCAAAGGCATCCCAGAAAGGCTTTAGAGTGACCCTTCCACCACCTTGGGACAGGAAAAGTCTGGGGAAAAAAACCCACCCTCACTGAATATGAGCTCAAAATAATCACAACCTATAGGAGGAAATGAATGCATCTACTCATGTAGTACATCAATACTGGCTCAAAAGCTCCAGTGTGTCCACTGCATTGCTGACAGTGAAGCTTTCGGTAATTATGCATTCCACTCTGCTAGAAGGAAACCACTTAGATGACCTTTCATCACCTCCAAAGTCTTAGGTCAGGGGCCTTGGTTTCACTCCATCCCTAGCTCAAGGACATGTGACTTCCTTGCTGTTCTCTAGCAACCTGTTACAGGTTGAATTGTGTCCCCTAAAAGTATACTGACATCCTAACCTCTGGTACCTGAACGTGTGACCTTATTTGATCCAGTGTACTGTTGTCCTTATAAAAGAGGAAGATGGCATCTGGAGTCAGCCATATGACACTGGAAACAGGGATTGGAATAATGCAGCCATTGCAAGGCAAGAATGGCAAGGAATGGCAAGAATGGCTGGCCACCACTCCAAGCTAGGGAGAGACAAGGAAGGATTCACCCCTATAAGTTTCAGAGAAAGTGTGGCCCGTTGATACCTTGATTTTATATCGTCTTCAGAAGTGGAAAAACAAATTTCTGTACTTTGTTTGTGATACTTGGTTAACATAACCCTTGGAAACTAATTCAAGCATCAAATGTGAACCCCTCAGCTTTCAAAGCCCTTCCTCAGACAACCTCCCCTATTCCCAGGGATTGCTGTCCAGATGCCACCATAGCAAGGCAGCCATGTCTGACACCACCACTGAAACTAGCAGCTGTGGTTTCTCTGCTTTCTTTGCCTCCTTTGCTTTTTGTTCCTGATCCCTAGACATAAAGGTCATTACACTGTATCCTTTATCTTTGTCACAGACCACTGCCTGCTTCACCTTCAGGAATGTTCTATCCCTGAGGGTGGAGACTGACCAATTCATTGTTGTTTGCCCACTGAACGCCACATGCCTGCCAGAGAGTGGACTTAAAACATACTTACTTTATAAAAGAATGAGCTACCTAAAAGCAGTTTCTTTTTTAATTTTTTCACTTTTACCCTCTACATTACCTGCTGTAATTTTTTGTTCATAGTAGACATTAAATATCTGCAGATAGATTAATTAATAAGCCAACCACCACTGGTAGGCTCAAGGCCGCGTGGTTAAGAAGGGTAAGTAAAGATGCACATCATTTTTGTAGGGAACAGGGAAAGGGGACATTACTAGAACCTCTGCAGTAAGTCCTAGTCTCCTGCGAGCCACAGCAGCACAAGGCGAATTACAGGAAAGATAGAAAAATGAGACTGAGAAGAAGCTGAGCTTTCGGTCTGATCAGTGCTGCTCTGGGCGGCAAAGACGAAAACCCCCAGCTTGCCGCACCTTTTATTCAGTACATCGGGAGAAACAAAGTGTAGCACATGACGCAGAGAGTTCAGTACATCCTGCGTAAATAAGATGTAACAATCCAAGAACAAGGAGGAACTGAGTAGATGTTTGTTCCTCCCAGGATGTTTTCAGCTCCCAGGATGTTTCTTGTCCTGGAGAATCACAGACAGTATCACCGGATCGTTGAGGTCTCAGTTGTGACTGGAGGCAAAAATGCAATTATGTCTTGGAATTCCATAGCTGGGCTGTAGGCAGGAGAACTAGGCTAACCAAATGATTTTTCCCTAAAATTATGTAGCATTGCTCCCAACACATTTTGGCCTGGATTTGGTGGCCTTCTTGTTGTAAAACGTTTGTGGAAATAACTGATCAGATTTCCCTGAGTAATCATTATATCTTAGCATTTGTCACATGCAGCCACTGCTTCTCTTGCACTGAACCCCCTCCCCTATTCTCTTCTGATTAAGGAGACAGAGTTGAGTAATCTAAATTTAGTTCATGTAGCTCAGAAGTGCCAGTCATGGAAAATAATGAATTAAGGGATTGCCACTCCCAGCTCCTTCCCTGAAGCATTGAGCTGAAGCCAACAAATTCATTTTATTTAGAACCACAGGCTGAACTCAGAGTGTTGTCTGTGACAGGCAAGTGCTTTATTCACTAATTAAGTCACCCAGGCTCAGACAAACCCTCTCTTGTGGCAGGGATGCTGCTTATCTGAGTCAGCCCAGACTCTGTGCTTGTCTTCTGTTTGGTAATGGAATTGGTATATAATTTGATTAAAAATGTGTAAGCTAGAAAAAAATCATATGTATACATGGATATCCCCTATAACTCTGCATCCAGAGTTCATGATTTCTGAGTTAAGGACTATGTTCTATCAGTTTTAAAAAGGATTGTATAAAAGATCTGCTTTCATTTATAGGAACATAAAAAGTCATTGCAAATGTTTATAAGAAATAGACCATAGATTAGGAATAACAATTGTTATGGTTCTCTCTGTTGGAGCAAAACAATGAGGGTTTGTTTTCTGTTACAACATATGGCTCTGTAATATGTGCACTGAGAGGTTTTACACACAGGGATTCTGAGTTTTTTAAAGTGAGTGAAAATGACAATGAAATATATGAAGTGATGCTAACTCAATTTTAAAATGTTACATGGTATATGTAATAAAGCATTTTTTGCTAGTTTTGTTTTTTCTGGTCTGATAGAAATTTAATCTGTTTCAGCTGTTGATTTTGTACATTTGGCACATTTATTCATCATCACTAATTATCAGAATTTCTCTGGGAGGAGCCAGAAGCCCCTGTTATCTCCTCCTACCAGAAAGGACTCAGCACCCAGCCCAGGGTGGGGGTGACTTACCCAGGGCTTTCCAGAGGTGACCCAAAGGTTCTCACATAGATCAGATGCCTTAAACCCTGGACCTTTTCTAATTCTCTGGTTTTCTGTACATTTCTAGCACAGTATGTCAGAATGTGGAGTAGGTCCTTTTGATGTAGTTCAGGGAAAATGGGTTCTGGTTTTAATTAGAGAAGTATATTATCCATAAACATAACCTACTTAAAGGACAACTTCAAACTACTGTAATTTTGACTATGAGAGTCAAGAACTAGCAAAATCTATAGGAAGGCAGTTTGATCCTTAGAGCAAGTTTTACTATCTTCTTCTCAGGGAACATCCGGTTGGATTTGGAGACCACCTAGATGATACGAAAAACAATGTGACATTTTATACAGGGCTTGTAACCATAAGAAGGGTAACCATTAATCAACTAATTCAGCCAAGAGAGCAAATTGTAGCTATGGAAAACTGGTTTTCAACCCGATCTAGATTCTTGCTGCCTTGCCTCCTTCAGACCCTTACCTAAAGACTTCTCTGACCCATCTGTTTCAAATTATAATAGCCTCCAGCCCCCATCGCCTTTACCTTAATTTGTTCCTTTTGTTAATGCACATTACCATTCAAAATACTACAAAGATTATTTTTGTCTCTTTCTCTAGCCCCTACACAAGTCACCATCCCCCTTTACTGCTGTTTTCCCACAGTTAGTGCTCAGTTTGTTTAGTGAGTGATGCTCGCATCCAACCAAGGCCTGTGATTGTACTTCAGGATGCACTGAACGCACAGGGGCAGGGCGGGCTGGCTGGTGGAGGCGGGGAAGGGCTAGAAATGGGGCGGGGGTAGTTCCTTTTGCTGCCTTTGTGTCCCACCTTGGGGTTAAACTGCACCGAAAAGGTTCTGACAAACCTAAGAATTGCATTTCCCAGCCTGACCTTCACTTTTCTTAAAAATGCTCTCATATTAGCAGTGTAAGGTTCACTTTCTGGTCTCACCTGTCAAACTACTACATAGAGGTGCTGCAGAGAAACTAGATAATCACATGAGTGCCTAATATAAAAGAATCCCCTTTTCTGAAAACAAAGCAAAACAGTGAACAGTTGTGCTGTTAACTAGGCAGGCAAACTGGAGAACTGAGGCAAAAGCATCCTCATATCTAAGTAACAATGATGAAAATGTCTAGAAAGTCTTGCGCTGAGTCGCGGCTGCCATTTCTAAATTGGCAGATACAACCAGATCTTTCCAGCGTAGCGAGTCTACTGGTACTTTGACTGGCACACAGCCAAGGATCCGGACACCATCTCAGCCGGCGGCCTTTTCCTAAGCAGTAGGAAGCAGCAGGCTTTCCGCCTGGGCTTTCCTACCCACTTCAATTCGCCCTTCAGCCACGCCCTCCCGCTGGGCGGCTTGAAACTTGGACAGGTTCTCCACAAGGGGCGAGGTCCCGCCCTGCCCCGCCCCGGCAGCGAATGAGCTGGCTCCCTGGAAGGGGTGTGCCTGCATCAGGCCCCGCCCCCTGTTCGGCAGCAAATGACTGCATGCCAGACGAGGCGCTGGGTGCTGCCTCAGGTGATAACGCCCGGTGCCACTGGTGGGCAGCGCTTCCCAGGTTCCGCGCTAGCTGGGCCGGTACCCGAGGGCACAGTGGTTCTCGGCCAAGGCTGCTCCGGAAATGTTTTCAGCGGGCACAAACATGGCTGCGGCCTTGCGAGCTGCAGGCGGCCTGCTCCGCGGTCGGTGTAAGTGGGGCTGATTCGTCCGCCGCTGAGGCTGGGGTCCCTCCGACGGCGGGGCGCGCCGGGCCAGGGGCTCTGGGAGCGGCGGTGGGCTTCTCGAGGAATGTGTTAGAGAGGGGACTGGGACGCACCCTGCTCTGGGAGGGGCGAGGGGAGCAGCTGGGCCCCAGAGGGCACAGGGAGGCGAGGGTTCGAGTCCCACCCATTAGCTGAGCAGTGAGCAGTGGTTGGATTTCTCAGTCGTCGTTCCTGTCATCGGTAGGAACAAGATTGTTTAGGGCATTACGGAAGGGAAGTACTTAAGGGCCTGTTGCCGAGAGGACAGTAACGGAGGCATCATCGTCATCACCACCATGGGCATCCACCCAGCAGTTCAGTAACCGGGGTGGAGTTCACAGCGTGCCCGCTGCTGCTCAGCCCTAGCCCCTGACCTCACTTCCAGGCATCAGGACCCCCACGTGGGGCAGCCTAGGCCAGTGTTTTCTAGACAGACAACCTCGAACGTTACTGGCACACACCGTGAATGTAGGTTACGTCCACTGGATGAGTTGATGGGTTTGCCATAGATGAAGAGTATTATAAGTGAAGCGGGCAGCACAGTGCCCGGCATACAGTAGGTGCATAAAGACTCCGAACTTTTCACACTTATTAATATAAAATGCCTCAAAGATGATGTTTAATACATTTGAGCCGTAACCAGACACAGCCTTATGTTTCAAAGAAGTTCCCAGATTCATCAGTCCAGCACCTGCTGGGAGTGGAGGGAATCCACTCTGAACCTCTATATCTCGTTACAGGTGTCTTTGGTAGGTAGGAAAATAATAAGGACCCAAGGTACAATGAAGATAAGCTCACTCAGGACGCTGGAAGAAAAAAAGGTATTATCTTTTAAGAGACAGGACAGTGCCAGTAGTGGGCTAAAGGAAGTATTGAATTAATTTTTTCTTCTTTTGGTACCAGGGATCAAACTTGGGACCTTGTGCTTGTGAGGCACTCGGCGGAACCACTGAGCTAAATCCCCAGCTCTGAATTAATTTTTTCTTAAATCAACCTTTCCTGTGGCAAATAAAGCCTGACAGACCCTAGGTTTGAGGTCGTGGAACAGTATGAGAAACTTTAAATTTGCTGTTTAAGTTACAAGTAACAAAGTAGAAATGCTCAGAAAGCACAGGAGTAGGTTTGAATTCCACTTGTGTTACAGACTATGATTTTAAGGTGTAATTGTAGTACTTTAATCTTGGTTAATAAGAAAAGGTTGATGTTAACTGAGAAAAAATTGGGGGTGAGGGATTTAGCTCACTGGTTCTGCTGCCTGCCTTGCAAGTGCAAGATCCCAAGTTTGATCCCCTGTGCCAAAAAAAAAAAAGAAGCTAAAACTGAAAAAAAAAAAATTGAGTAGTATTTCTGAAAATTATGGAAGTAGAAGTAGAAAAGCAAAGCATAAACATGGTATAAAATTAATAAATCTCAGGGGTAGGGTGGGCTTAAGAATATATATATCTGTACATATACACATACATGTTTATATGAATTATTGTTTTTGTTCCTTATTCTAATTTTTTATACTGAGAATATATGTCTTTTGTAATTAGAAACAAGTCTAGGATAATAGAAGTGAGTTTTGGTGTTTGAATAAAGTCATTAGAAAGTATTTTGGCTTCACACCCAAAAATAGCAACTCTGTAATGTGCCCCTTCCCAAGTATTTATCAGTTGTCACAATATAGAACCTTATTTCTACTAGTAATTTTTAAATGATACATATTTTATAAGTACTTTAAAATAATCTCCATCTCATGTGATAAAAATGGCTCTATTGTGTACTTAAGGATTTGTATATCCTCCTCTGCTCTACCTCCAGCCATCCAAAATATTAAAATAATTTGGTTTTGAAGAACCAGTTGGTACCCATTAACTTCTTAAGTCACGTATTAGGCTTTGGATGATTCCCCTATTGGGTTTGTCCTGGAGTTATGAAGCTTCATTTTCTAATGCCATCTTCTTCTCTTTTGCATACCCTTCAGCCCGATCGATAGCTTTTCTTCTTTTTTTTTCCTGGTACCAGGGATCAAACCTTGCACTTGCAAGGCAGGTGCTGTGCCACTGAGCCAAATCCCCAGCCCATAACTTTTGTTTTTTATAGGCCTTCCACAGGTAGACGAGTTGTCCATTTAAAGGGTGGGAGTGTAGGGTCTTAGTTCATAAGTGATTAAGTTTGCACTATTGAATATTATTGACTTGTTTGTCTAACCACATGCAGTGTGTCAGGCACTGTTAGTGGAGCCAGGCATAGATTCTCCCCTCCCTGTGCCCCAATCTTCACAACAGCCTGTAAGGTTGGCCTTATCACTATTTCACAGATAGGAAAAGTGAGACTTGGCGGTGGCTCATTTTGTTGCTCCATGTGGCCACACAGCTTGTTATTCCTATGTGGGAATCTCTGCTCAGATCTCTCTGGCCCCAGAACATTTACACCACACAGTGCTGCCTGTGCTTTTAGATTCTCTTTAGCTGTGAGCTTAGTTTATTAAGGTGTTTCAGTTTGTCCTTTGTTTGAATGATTACTTTAAACTCTTAGCTAGACAAACTCTAATAGTTTGATAGAAAACACTGTTTACTCTGCTAGAAAATTTAGCTCACTAGTGTGTGGGGGGGTGCTATAGAGATAGCCTTAGAGATGAATGTATTTACCCTGAGTTTCAAGTAGAAAACATCCCTCTTAGCAGCGTCATTGTCCTTGCTGAGAATTTGGCCACGAAGAAGAGAAATTTTTAAGGGCATGGCAGTAGTTAAGGAGCTTGAGAAGGGACCACTTCCCAAACTAGGAAATTCTAACTAGTTGGAAGATCTAGTCCCACCTCAACTTCCTCTTCCTCCTCTTTTAGGTTTGTGGGATGAAATCTTCTTTATGGCCAGCAGTCAAATTATGGAAGATCAAAGTTTTATTCTTCATACCGGTAGAATCTAATGATCTGATTTATATAGGAAATTGGAGACATTGAGGCATGATTAAGAATCTGGTTAATTCTCACTTTGTAGTTTATCTGCAGTGATATATAT